CGGCCAAGCCCCCCAGGTTTTCGCCCTCCCCATTGGTTGACGGCCCCGTGATCTTTCGCTGGCCCTCAAGAGCCACGTGTATAAGATGGGCGGCCAGATACGTTTATTAAACAGATAAGCAAGTGGGTCCAGTGACGCTGAGCTTTTCTGAGGTCGACCGAGGTCAGCGGATGCTGCGCAGAACCTGCGGCGGTCGAGTAGCCAGGCCTGCGACACCCAGACGTCCTTCTCACGTCAAAGGGGCCTTTTGGGACAGCCAGTTTCACTGACAAAGTTGGGGGGCAGCGGGCTTCAACACCGAAATGCAATAAGAAGAGGCTGTAAAAATACGGGAGCCTGTTTTAACATTTGTCGCTGTCGCATTTGGGGGCGTTTTGCAGAGTACGCAATCAGAGGATGGAGGCCCTGGGACCTGGCGCGGTCAGAGTCACCTCCGAGCGTTTCTGTTTGCACAGGCAGCGGACAGCAGTCTGTGACGGGAGTCACGAGCGTGGACGACAGCAACAGTTACTGGCGAGTTCGGGGCAAGTCGTCCAGTGTTTGCGAAAGGGGCACCCCGGTAAAATGCGGGCAGACGATCCGCTTGACCCACATCAACACAGGTCGCAACCTGCACAGCCACCATTTCACGTCTCCCCTTTCGGGCAACCAGGTGAGGATGAAGTTACTGTGAACAGCTGGCAAACAACTGCCTTCAGCACTTGTGGAGCTCGCAATTCATTTTTAAGTTGGGCTCAGGTGCCCAAGTTGCTTGCTCCTGCAAGCCCGTGCTGTAGGCAAGGATGCCTGCCTTTCCACATAGGAAGCTGCCGTCTTAGGGTGAATGAGACCCCCGTCTGCTTGGCTCCTGCCCAGGGCTCTGGTCAGGGCTCTCTGTGGACTTCTGGCAGGGGACTTTGCCAGCCCAAGCTGGGTGGGTCATGCACCATGCCAACCTGATGGAGAGGGCTGGCTTTTCCTTGAATTTTTCAGCCCAAGATTTCCTTTTTGCTTCTCTCACATCGCCATCTCAGTAGCTTGTTGGAGTCTCTGCGGCAGCAAAGGATAAGGGAGCCTTGCCTACCGATACCTTGGGGGGCGGGTATTGGGCTTCTAGAGCGTACCTCAAACTCCCTTGTTCCTTGTTACACTTTTGCCCCTTCACCCTTGCGTTCACTGAAAGCGCATGACTGTCCCCTCTACCGTACGGCTCTCTGGCAAGAGAAAAGGTGCTCCATTGTTCCCATGGCTGTGACCATTGTCTTTGCATAGTTCTTGAAATGCGCGTCAATGCCGTCTGTTCCAGGAGGTCAGTGCCTTTGGGGAGGACGGTGAGGGGGACTTCCTGGATGACTGGACGGTCCTGTGCAACGGCAGGTATTGGGAGAGGAAAGGCGAGGTGCGGTTCAAGCATTCTTCCACCGATGTGCTTCTTTCGGTCACTGGGGAGCAGTACGGACGGCCTATCCACGGGCAGAGGGAAGTGCACGGCATGGCTTACTCCAGCCAGGACAGCTACTGGAAAGCCATGGAAGGGATCTTTGTGAAGCCTGCGGAACTGGCGAAGGCCGAGTTGTACCACGTAGAACTATGACCCCAAAGGGGCATCCTCGCGTGCCCGCAGCCTGAGCCATCGGGTCGGCCGAGTTCCCAGGTGCGGTTTGGTGACTGAGGCGTCGGTGCGGCAGACCCTGCCCGGCTGCAGAGGCGTGCTTGTTGGCACCGCCTGCCGAGGACAGCAGCGTTCCGGCTCTCCGCACGTGGCCTGCGGCTGACGTTCAAGCCCCTGGGCGCCTGGGGGCCGGCCATCAATAAACATTCAGTATTCACGCATCTGTTGCGGGTAGTTGGTGTTTCTTGTGTGGATCCCAAGGGTGGGTTTGAAAGAAGGATGGTGCCGCTTCACGGGGGAGGGCGCGGCCTCTCCCCCCTCCTCTTTCAGAGGAAAGGAATAAAGCTTTGAGCGAAAACTGCGCCGCTCAGCCGTTTGCTGGGAGGGCCGCG